GACCCTTGTCCTCTACCTCTCCAACAGTTTGTATAAAGAGACAAATTATTTGTTCCTTGAAGGGTTCATGACACTCGTCTGCAAAACTTCCTGAGCATTTCTGAAGGGGGTGGTATTGATTACTGACTCTATTTCTTCCAGAGTTATTTGTTTATTAAGATTTTATATTTCTCCAAGAGTCAATTTTGTTTTGTTTTGTTTTTCTCTTTCAACTATTCTTTTTTATTTCTTCAGAATTCTCTACCTGAAACTTTTGAGTGCTGTCTATACTGCTCACAGAGCTCTATTTTCCATCATGTCATAATATTTAATTCACATTGCAGAAGAAATATTCTTGGTTTTCTTAGGTAGTCTCTAGGTTATTTCTTCTTTCAGATGGGTCCTTTTTTTGTAAGACTTCAATTTTTTAGAAGAGAAGGTTCACAACAAAATTGAAAGGTGGTACAGAGATTTCCCGTACACCCCTTGCCTCTACACATGCACAGGCTCCCCCATTATCAACATTACTCACTAGAATGGTACATCATAATCAACCAAAGTCCCTAGTTTATCTTAGGGCTCAGAGATGTCGTACATTCTATGGGCTTGGACAAATATATCCGTCATTATAATATCATACACAGTATTTTCACTGACCTAAAAATGCTCTCTGCTCTGCCTATTCATCGTTCCCCACCATCACCCCTGGTAATCACTGATCTTTTTACTGTCTCCATAATTTTGCCATTTTCAAAATGCCATATAATTGGAACCACTGAGTATGTAGCCTTTTCAGATGCCTTCTTTCACTTAACAATATGCATTTAAGGTTCATCCGTGTCTTTTCATGTCTTGATAGTTCATTTCTTCTCACCACTGAATAATATTCCATTGTCTGGATGTACCACAGTTTATTTATCCATTCACCTATCGAAGGACATCTTGGTTGCTTCCAAGTTTTGGCAATTATGAACAAAGCTGCTATAAGCATCTGTGTGCAGGTTTTTGTGTGAATGTAAGTTTTCAGCTCCTCTGGGTAAATATCAAGGAGCATGATTGCTGCATCGTATGGTAAGAGTACGTTTAATTTTGTAAGAAACTGCCAAACTGTCTTCCAAAGTGGCTGTACCATTTTGCATTTCCACCAGCAGTGAATGAGAGTTCCTGTCGCTCCACACCCTCACCAGCATTTGACGCTGCAATTTTTTATATTTTTGCAACACATTATCCATTTCCCTCATATTTTCACATTTATTGGCGTACAGTTGCCCATGGTTTTCTTGTTTTATTTCTTTTAACTCTCTCGCATGCTCTTCGTGTGGTTTTCCTGTGCGCCTTTTTCCTCTTGATTATCTGCACTAGAATTTGCGGTTATGGTCGATTTTACACAAGATTGGCTTTTGATTTTGTTCCTATTGATACTGTATCATTTCAATAATTTCTGATCTTAATTTTCATAATTACATCCTTCTACATACATTCCTGAGTTATTCAATCTTCATTCTTCTAATTTCAAGTTTTCTTCCTTTTAAATCTCAGAAATTTTAGTCTTGAATACTATTTTAGCAGCATTACACAACTTGCAACCTGTAGTACATTCACTTCTCATCCAGTTCTAAAAAACTGATATTTTCCATTGTGATTTCCTCTTTAACCCACAAGTGAAGTAATGGTGTGCTTTAAGGTTTCCACACACGTTTACAGGTTTTGTTTTGAACTTTTTCTGCTGATGTCTGATTTAATCACAGTAGGTCAGAGACGGTGGCTTACATGAGAGAGATTGCTTAAAACTTAGTGCAGCTTTCCATATATGGTCAACTTTTTAAAAAGCCACATAGATTTGAGAAAAGAACCCAGAGCCTGTCTGTCAGGCGCAGGGTTCTAGGTATGTTGACTAATTCAAGGCTGTTAATACCGTTCTGGACATCTTTGGAATTGCTCCTATTATCTTATTTTGTATTTTCTATTTGACATTTTTTTTTTCACATCTTATTTTTCTTCCTTTTCTGCTTAACATTGATTGTTTTTATTACATACATATTTCCTTGTATTTTTTTCTGCTAGGTTAGACACTATAGACTATATGCATATTCTTTTAGTAATTACAGTTAACATTTAGTTGCACCCAATATTTTAAAATACATAACTAGGTATATGATTACAGTTAATATTCAGTCGTACCCAATATTTTAAAATACATAACTAAGTATACTTTGTTCTAATGTAGTCTCAAGTTATTTTACATTTTACTTCTCCTAACTGGGGTCTTACTACGATTGAACCACTCACTGAACAACCCTCACTCAGACATACACACATTCCCTATGTCTTATTATCAGAAGTTTTAGTTTAACCTTACTTTAACCATTCATAAGGAATTCAATTTATGACACTGCATCCCTTTCTCTGCACATTATTGTTTCTTATACTCCATGCCTTCCTCCACATTCACATTTCTTCTTCCTGAAGTATAACTTTTAATGATTCTTTTAGTGAGAATTGCCAGGAACATATTTTCCCACTCTTTGTCTGAAAAAGCTTTATTTTGCTCTCACTAGATGTTGGTATAAAACTCCAGATGGACTATCACCTCCCCCACAGCACTTTGAAAACGTCCTGCATTATCTTTTGGCATTTACTGTGCCCAAGTCGGTTGCCAGTCCAACGGCTGCTCCTGCAGGGAAATCTGTTTTTTCCCTTCAGGTTTTCTCTTTGTCTTCCGTTTTCTGGAATAGTGCTAAATGCTTTTAGATGTGAATTAATCTTCATTTTTCCTTGTAGGCTTTGAGGACAGTTTGGGGACTGTGTCTCTCTTCAATTCTGGCCAATTCTCAGCTAGCATCTTTTCAAATTATCCCCTCCGCCATTCCCTCCACTTCTCCTCAAGACTGACTGTCTTTGTCTACCAGTCGTTCGTGCTTTTCCATGTCTCTCTGTGCTTCAGCAAGAAGACTCCAGCTCGTGAACTCTCTTAGCTGGAATCCAGCATTTTTTACAATGCCAATACCTATATATTTCATTTCCAAGCTTTCTAAGGGAGTCTTGCTTGCACCCACCTGTTCTCGCCTCATTTCTTCCCGTTGTGTTTCCTAGTTTCTTGTCCTTTTTTCCACGTATCATTCTTTCTTTCATCTCCTTCAGCATTACAAACACACTTATTGTGAAGACTGTGTCAGACCCATCTTTAATGCACATGTAAACTGGCGATCTGATGACTCTGTCAGCTATACTTCCTAGTAGGAGATGGCTTCACGTGCTTGGGAACATCGATTTGCAGACTCATTTGGTGTGGGTCGTGCTTTGTTCTTCTGTTCTGCCATCCTTCCCACCTACCCCTCCCTGGGTGGTGGTGGAGGAGGGGTGCTCAGGGCTGCTGCCTCAGGGAAGGATGCAGAGGCTGCGTGGGTTAGCCCCAGCTGCACGCTGTGCCTGCTGTCTGGCCTTGGGTTCACAGGCACTATTTTCCAGGGTCTTTCAAGAGCAGAGGAGCCCCACCCCAGCTCCTGGCTAGCTGCAGTGAGCCTGGCCCTTACCGTGGCCTGGGACCTTGCCTCCACCCGTTGGTGCTGCTTTTAGACTTGTAACCATGGGCACTGGCGTTGGCACTGCTCACTGCTCTGTGGCAACGTCTGTCCCGTTTCTGAGCCAGGCTGAGTCCTTTTGGTTTTCCTGTTTCACAGGCTATGTGTGTAGAATTACTGAAGGTTGAAGGGAAAGGCGGCCTGCATCACGGCTGTGCTTACAAGTATGAACTCTCTGGGTCACTGAGCAGAAGCTGAGTTCAACATAGAGACACGTTCATTCATTCCTTGAAGCCCTGCTTCAGGTGCTGCGACAGTCAGAGGCCCAGCTTCCCTGCCTGCTGCGTGACTCCTGCCCAGGAGAACGATTAGCTCTCGGCCACAGGAAGCCCAGTCTACCTTCTGCGTCGCACATTCCCTTCATGGTACCACCTGAGTAGCTGTGATATCTATGGGATATTTGAACGCACAACTTAAAGGCACAGGATGAGAGGTAAGCTTTAAAAAGTTCTTTCGGTGTAATATTTTTCTAGTTTTCTGATTCAAGTATTAACATAAATTTTTATATGAACATTAACACCGACTTGGATTATTTCCGTTTAAATGAGACCATTTGTAAGCAATGAAATGTATTAGATGTAAATTTTCATAAGTTTCAAAGCCAAAATACTAACAAACTGGTACTCTTTTCTTTGCATCATTTCATTTGAAAGTTTTCTAAAAGATGAGCCTGCAAGTATTCTTGACACAGAAAATCTTGACTATTTTTACAAATCTCCTAATACTTGAAAAAACTTCTTTGACTTCACAGTCAGCTCCCAGCTTTTATTTTTGCTAAATTTCATCTTCTTTCTCATCAAGCAATTTAAAAAATCTGATTATTCTAATTCCTACCAGCTCTAAGTCCTTCAATTTCTTGCACTTAAACTCTCTAATAATCCAAAAGGCCAGCATGTACATTTTTCCTGTTCCATCTCACGATCAGACTGGCTCCCTTTCTAGGCTCCCATCTTGTACCCAAGCTTGCATTTATTAGACCTAATTTACTAACTCTTGCATCCTTGTAGAATATCTCCTTTCCTTCCCATGATGACCCTATCAGAAATTAACTAGAAGAATTAGAAGGGATCATAGAAAGGTAGAGAAATACCAAGAGTACATACACGTAAAACTCGCTTAAGTGTAAATACTGAAAAGCCAAAATCAAGAGGATTTCACCGTGGAGGAGCCTTCAACATGCAACATCAAGGTGCCTTTACGCTGCATCCCGGGATAACTCACATGAAATTGATTTTGAAGTTTGGCTCGCTGAAGTCAGTTCATGGAAAGGAAACAGGTGAAGATATCACAACCAAGTATTTTTCCCTTTTTCAGAATTTGTTTCCCTTAAAGGGGAGAACTGAGGTCAGAATTTTCTTACATTAGTACCAAAAACAATGTTTTGGAATACAAAGCCAACCACTGTCACACAGCTGTCACCATGCTTTTGTCACTCCTTACCTTGGTGATTCGCGAGCCGGTCAGACTGTGCCGGGAAGCCAGGCCCTGCCAGATCTCGAGGACCGCGAGGAGGCGTCTGCTCCACCTGCTCCTGGAGAAGACAGGAACAGAAGGGCCCTGGTCAAAGAAGCACGCCACTTGTCGACTTCCACCATCCCCAGCAGTTCCTTTCTTCCTCCACTTACTTCTTTTCCATCTATTTCCTTTTTTGTTTTAAATGACAGTTGTTTAAAATATGCTATAAAAGGGAAGTTAACCATGAAGAGGTATAACCTGCCTGGCAAGGGAGTAAGAAGAAAGTTACTCCTGTTTTTTGGCTTAAATTGCTTTCCCTGAATAGCAATTCAAAAAGAATTATTGTTAAGTGCTGGATTTAAGCAATGAATAGAAATAATTAGCATTCCATGGAGCACGTGAATTATCTGTAACAATTACTGGTAATCAAGCCCTAGGCGGTCTGTTACCTGGTAGAGAAACATCCAGAGACTGTTTCATAATGGGCCCCTCCACAAAGCAGGAGGAGTTCACAGTGGCATTGTTTAGACATCAGGGTTAGGACAAAAATTTTAGGCAAAAGTTAAAACAGCAATATTACGACCAAGCCCACACCTCTAGAAAAGTATTTTCATGCGATTATAATCAAGCCAATGAAAGAGACATTAAAACGTGGGAAAAGAAAATGGGCCTTTTAATAATTACACGCTTATAACAAAATATTAGCAGTTACTTGGGGTGGAGACATGTCAAACTTCTCTTACAGATTTAAAAAGGTTTTGAAATTTTTATAATGCACATGGATTACCGCTGTAATTAGAAAGGTTTTAGAACAGTGTTAAAAGTATAAGATCTGCAAGGAAAATCTACTATTAATAATAATAACACATTGGCACTAATACAGTAGCTACCTTCAGCAACCTCATCCCTACCTCTGCAGAGGAACCTCCCGGCACTGCACACTGCTGCAGATGGAACATTCCCCATGAGCGCGTGCGGGCACTAGCCAACACGTGCATAGAGCTGACTCTGCCAGCTGGACTCCCATTCTAAAGATGAGGACACTCAGACACAGGAAGGTCATGTCCACCCCACTACCACCAGCCAGCAAGGGGCAGCCTAGGATTAGAACCCAGGCAGCTGGGCTCCAGAGCCCACGCACCTTCCCATCCAAGCTGCCCCAAAAACTCAAAAACACACGTTTATTTTGACAAGGCACTTTATCACTTGAATGTTCCCCAGCAAGCTGCTTCTCTGTGCAGAGCCTTCACCTGCTGGAGTGTAGAAAGGGAAGGGTGACAACTTTACTGTGTGACGCAACCCGCGTGTACACAGGCGGGGGTCTTCACTGGTATGCTGGGGGCCCTCACAGGAGGGGGGAGGCAGAGTGGCAGTGCTGGGGAGAGTCCAGATGCTCACCTACACTCACCACTTAGGAGGAGGAAGGAAGATGCATGCTCCCTGGGAAGGCTCAGCTGCATTCACACCTTCCTCCAGAGAATCTGGGGAAAACAAATAAAGCCCTAAGGTACAGGAGGTATTTTCACTTGCTTCTCTCTCTCTGTTCTCTCCCTTCAAGAGAAATAGCTTTCTTTCTGCTTTTTAATCATAGATGTAATACTTGCTAATTATGAATGTCTAGATGCTAAAGAAAGAAAAGCATAAAGGAAAAAATTAAAATGAACCTCTCACACAGGGATGTTATCCTCAATTTTTGGTCTGTTCTTTCAGAGAAAAAAAAAATTCCCACACACAGTATGCAATGTTTGAATTATTTATGGGGAGCATAGATGTTATATTTGAATCACATGGGAGGACTATAAACAATCCTGATAAAAAAAAGGAATCATAACCATATGACACATATTATTGCATTTTAACATGTGTTTCTGAAATTTTCTATGGCAACACACCACCTCCATCAGCACCTTCACAGCTCTAGCAGTCTCCACTAAGTGGAGGTGTGACATCATTTCTTTAAACAGTACCCTACTGGTGAACACAGTTTGTTAAGAACGGAAGGTTTTGATTAGGAGAGAGGAGAGGGATTGGTTTGGAGGACACGGTGTCTGGGTGGCAAGAGGAAGGCCACCAAGAACCCCGCTGCGCCGCCACAGATGGAGCTGGGCTGTCAAGGTTAGTGCATAAGGCAGTACCTCCTAGTCCCCCCAACTCAGCGGAGTCTCCCCTCTGGGGCTACCCCATCTAATTTCTGCAATTCCACAGCCAATGTTTCTCCATCCAACTGGCTTTTTACCATTTGAGAGAAGTACTTTTTCCTTCTTTTCCAAATTTTAAAACTACTTGTATAAATTTTTAGAAATACAGAGCAGATATAAAATAAAAATTAGCCTAAATCGTATGACAGTAGGGTAACATGGCATTCTCATGGACTTTGCACCTTTATTACGCACAGCTAGAGACTGCTGGAACCTATGGTGTAAACAATTTTGTGTTTTGATTTTTTTCTCCTAATTAACAGCATAAGACATCATTTTAAAACCTTGGTAAACATTTTTTCAGATTCCGAACTACTATAGTAGACACTTCCAGTCATTTGCAAATTTCAGACAGACAGCATAAATAACAATCAAATAAACACCTTTGTGCCTAAAACCCTGTCCACATTTCTGACGATTCGCTTAGGATCCCTCGAGCACGACTAGGTCAAACGTCACATGCAGTTCTTCTTTGAGTCCAGGCACATCCTGTCAATCTCCTGTTCACATAGTACATCCTTCTACTCGAAACAGAGGAGGACGGCCCTTTTCATAATATCCAAGTCGGCTGGCACAGTGACTGGTGATTTTTCTGGAATTCTTTTCTTGCCAATCCCAGAGGTAAGCAGTGGCCTCATCCTGTGATTTTCATGCAGGTTTTAAATACAAAGGTTGAACATTTGTTCATATGCTCACGAGCCCACGTCTTCCTTCTTTTGGAGCATCCTTTGACAGGCCAGCTAGAACAGTGCCTGAGGGCACGAGGGCTTTCCAATCAAACACACCCGTGAATGAGCCACAGCAGTCCCCACTCAGGAGCTCAAGGTTTGGGGCCAGTTATCTGGACTCACTGAGGCAACTGGCTCATCTGTAAATGGATTAAATGACCCTGCAGGGACTGCTGGGAAGGTCTGTTTACAATGTGAAGCACAAGGCAGGGGGCCTAACTGGGTGCTGGGTGAGCACCCCGCATGGTGGCCTGTTGATGTCCGTGGCCCATTGGAAACTGGTTTGCTTCTTAATAACTCCAGGAAGAGCTCTTCATGTGGTAAGAAATAAGGAAGTTGGGTCATATGTGTAGCAAATATGTTTCCCACCTTGTTTGTCTTTAGATTTAATTATATTTTTGCTTCTCAGAAGTTTAATTCAATGTAGTCAAGTTTATTGAACTTTTCTTTTTGGTTCATTATTTTAAACTTGATAATTGCCTTCATCCTCTACAAAAAAAACTGAAAAACATCCGTTTCTGTTTTATTCTGATTTCTGTTCCGACTTGATGCATCACTCTTTCATCTATCTGACATTTATTTTGGTGGACAGTAAGAGGTGAGACTATAAATTGATATCACCTGGTCTTCCCTTTTGCCTGATCTGGCAGGTCACTTTTATCACATATTATAGTCCTGCACACACACGTCTGTTCCTCAGCTACCTACTCATCAGTTCCACAATCTGCCCACTCCCAGGCCAGCACCCCACAGTTTCCACTCTCACAGCTTGCCCACATGTTTATCATCAGCAGACACGTTCTTGCTTCTTTTAACATGAATTCCTCAGTCATTTTCTTCCAAGCAAACTTTAGAATACTTCCTAGGTTAGCTTATATTATTAAAACTTCTCATCTGGAATATTTACTTATATATAAATGAGTAATTACTACCCATTACTAATACGAATATTGGTAATGGATTATCTAATTGGAATCAGACCACACAAACACTGAGAGTATAAGCTGAGAAGCTGTTACCCCACCTATTTCAAGGGGGAAGGGACCAGCCTCCTGGACGCCCACCTTACACAGCCCTTCCCCCTGGGGGTGGCAGTGGCCCCGAGGATAAGCAAGCTCCCTGGGTGTTTCATGTGCACACTCGAGTCTGAGACCAGTCATCCCCTCCACACACGCTTTCCCGAGAACTCCTCCTGCCAGTCACAAGCAAACCGGACCCCACTGAGACACATATTTGGAAGACAAGTAACTTGCAAACCAAATTTAAGGCAATCTTGTCTAAACAGCATCGCCAGATTTAGCAAATAAAAACACAGGCTGTCCAGTGAAGCTTGAGGTTTCAGATACACAACTAATAATTTTTTTGGTACAAGTATGCCCCAAATATTGCATGAGGCTTCTAAAAAAAAGTTGTGGTTTATCAGAATTTAACTGGGCCTCCTATACTTTATCTGGCAACTCTATACCTAATGAACTGTCCAAAATCTGGCAGGTTTGGATGACAAATTAAAGCAGTAAGAACAAAATCTGGGCAAGTGGCTTGTTAGTATATAAATCTCCCAGGTCAGAAAGGAAACATACTCTTAAAACTTCAACAGATAAAGCTGCAGACAGGAATCCTGTTATCTTGAGAAGCGAAGACAGATGTAATAGTATGAAAAATGTTGGCGTGTGTAAAATAAAGCCAAAACACAAAGGCAGCAGGGAGAAGTTAATCACCACGGCATAGAAAAAAAACCTCCTGAGAGGGCCGGAAGGTCCAGCACAAACCTCCACCCACTCTTCAAAGGCAGACAGTGGCACTTCCCCAGGCACAGGGACAAGAGTAAAAGGCTTGTTACTGTGCTGGCGTGGTCTCCTCTGGGAGGGAGTTTTTGTCTGTCTGTTTTGTTTGTTTTGTCCAGGTTCGTGAGCCTCCCCCTGAGGGTCAGGATGCAGGGTGGCCTGGCTGTGGCCCGGGGCCAGGACTACAAAGCCTGTCCTCTGCAGGGCAAGTCGAGGACTCTTCCGTGAAGGTGGCTCTAAGCAGCTAATGCTTCTTTAACACAGAGCCCTTAATCACTAAGCTGTCTACCTCTAGGGAAGGTGGGAGCCTGGGAGAGTGACGACTGAGCCCCTTAACCAAAGCTGTGTGACTCACTTCACTATTTA